TTTTTGTACACATTCATCCCTGAGCAACAGCACACATCTATTTTATTCAAACAAACAAGTGTCGAAATACCAAATGTGTCAAACCTATTGCATATTTCCAGTCACTTAAACTTGTCTGCGTTTCAAATGCGTTTCATGCTTCAGTAAACCAAGAAAAATTTACAAAAAATGAAGTACAAAGAGAAACAACCTACGAGTGATGGAGAAACAACACTTAAAGTCAGCTTAAATGGCGACCGCAGAAACATTCACTCGTAAATCAATTAGCACCCACAACAAGCACCATGAAACCCATGGGGATCTCTTGATGCCTTGCGGCTTTTCGGAAAATTAACTACCTGCTAAGTTAATTGAGCAAACAACGCTGGCAGGACAAGCAGGACTCGCAGGACTCGCAGGAGAGGCTGCCACAAAAGTTGTGCATCGGTCCAACTAAAAAGTCAGGCGCTGCGCTGCGGCTTACAACTATTAATTATGCGGGCCAAAGTTATGACAGCAGAAAACAGCCGCAGAACTCGAGCAGCGAAACTAAAAACTGCCAACTGCCAGCGAGCAAAGGGAAGCGCACATCATAAATTACGGCCAGGACACGGCCATGGAGTGCAAGGATGTGCCAGCTCCTGCTCCAGCTCCTCCTGGGATCTGCCTGGATATATATGTACTATATACGTGTGCGGTAAGCCGCCGCCTGTCTTTTGGCCATGGCAAACAGCTTCCATGCATCCAAAAATATTCGAAAATTTCAATGGAAGTGGAGCCTCCTGGCAGAAAGGTATCCTGCCACGGCACAAAATGGCCACCGCAGAGCGCACAAAAAGTGTCATGGCGCATGAAAAACTTCCTGCACGGGAGTGGCTTGGCCCCAGGCCTTCAGGATTCAGCCTTCAGCCTGTCCTGTCCGTGGCCAAAACAATGGCACAGCTCCTCCGCAGCTTCGGCAAATGAAAGTCGCATTGTCAGGCTCAATGTTTCCGGTCGGCTCATGGATGTCCTCGGCCCGAATTTCAGCCTCATCCTCTTGCTCAGCTCTCCAGCCATCCAGCATCCATGGCGTCTGAGTCTGAGTATCCATTCCCTGGCTGTGGATGTGGATGTGGCCTGAAACAAAGCGCATCCGTTTGGCGAAAATTGAAATGACAAAGTTCAAAGTTTAAGCGGCTTGGCTGTCAGTTTTTCTGGGGCTCTTATAGTGCCGCGCTCAATGCACAGAAAACATTTGAAGTTCGATTCGTTTATTTTTTTGCTATCAACTTTAAGTTCAATGAAAGTTCTTCCATTTTTAATTTTGCGAATTAAAAACGTTGGAGCTTTGTTTTTGTATCAATTAATGTGAATCAAGTCCCTTGAATACGAAAGAATCTTATTTTGGCAAATATTAAAGTAATTCTTTAATTTTGTATTAAGCAATGATTTATTGTTTATTCTAGATATAAGTTATTAGGGGTCTTACATTAATCCCCTTTAAACTTTAATAAACATTATTTTTTAATTTTTACACTTAAAAGTTTAGTAAATAATTCGGCAAAAAAATGTTGTTAAATCTTCACTATTATCACTAACGTGAATCCTTAAACAAGTTTGGGGATTGATAAGTTTGTTAATCAAAAGCAAAAATCAACAAATCTACTTTTGTAATTACCCACAGAACGAAAATTTTAAGCAAGCTCAATTTAACAACTATTTTGTTTTTGCATTTTTGTTTTTTTTCCGTGTGGCAAGGAATTAAGTGCCCCGAACCACCGGGCTAATCATCAGGCAAACACTCAAACCACATCGATTGCAGCAGTGGTTGCGGTTAAAATTAAAAACGACCGGGAGCAAGTGGAAATTAAATTGCCTGCAGTTAAAAAACACTTTGGCCAGGCACCAGTCGCAGTAACAACAATGTAATAAAAGTCATCTCCTGACACGCCCCTCCCCGCGGCGAAGCTGCCCCAATCCTGCGACTCCAGCACGGCATTTGCATACTTTTAAGCGCAGATGAGCAGAAATCACTCATACGCACGGGGAGCCATTAAGGGGGTTGATGGGGCGGAGCCAAAGCCCAGGGCTCAGGCTTACTCCAGCTGTCGGATTTTCTTGCTCCTGCCGCCTTGTTGTTGTGCTATTATGACGGTATTTGCATTGTGTTTAAACGTATTTGAACACGATTTTGAGTCAAGGGGATTGGATTGGATGAGGCTGAATCCAGTGATGGTTAAAGGGGGCCCGAACCACCGCTCACCAAATGAGCAGGCAATTTATTTACGGTCAAATTGCGAGGTTAGACAAGGCAAACAAAGCGGCGCAGGTCGCTGCGCAATGGGATCCCCCGGATTGCTCCTTGGTGGGCGTAAAAATGTGATAAATATGAAATGTGATTATGGCTGCTATTATGTAGCACCCGGCAGGATGATGATGAGGCTTATTATGAAGTTGCCTTCGCCTTGGCGAATCTGCGGTTGTGTTGCCTTGGGCGTCGTTTTGAGTGAGTGGCTGCCATGAGACCGACTGCCTTTCCTTCTTTCCATCCTGTATGTGGTGGCCTCTTGTAAATGAAATGAGGAAATGTGATTTTGACGATGTGTTCGCTTTGCGGCAATGGGTACTCATGTGGGTGTCGCTTGTTTGTTTTTGTGTGGGCGCCGGAAGTTGTAATTGTTTTTAAAAGGAAGCTTGAATTGCTCATTGGGGAAATGCACGAAATAAATCAAGGGCAGCGACTATAACCGTGGAAGTTGGGTTCGGGCAAAGAAATAAAACTAAAACTGAATTGTCTTAAGCTTGTTTTCATGTTAAAAGGCAGGAAAATAACGATTTTTGTTGCTTAATTAGTTTTTAGTTAATTAAGAGCGTTTAAGTAATCTTAATATATATTAAATCAATATTTCAAAAATTTCGTTTTGTTATTTAAAATAAAAATAGACGTTTTTTATTATTTCATTAAACTTTCAAAAGTATATCAAATAAGTTCCTAGTTTTATAGCTAAAAAGTATCTTCTTGAAATGTCCACAGATTTTAAATGAACACCTTTTGTTTACGAATTCCAGAGCAATTTAAGTATGTACCGTTTTCGGAACCTCAAAAATTTAGTTTTGACTTTAAGAGATCAAAGTTGAAGTTTTATACATTTTTAAAAATGATTTTCTAAAAATAAGATTACAAAGGTTACTATATTTATAATAATAATTACTTTTTTGAGTGATTAATAAATATGTTGAGTGTCTGAGCTATGCTTTTGTATTTCAGACCTTTGACATTAAAAGTCAGTTAAAGAAATCCACATGATACCGTAACATATATATCTTTCACCTCTCTTTATCTCTGTACCTTTATGCTCCCCACCAATTTGCTTACATTACAGTTCCCAGCAATTGTTTTCACCCCACGCTTCCTGCATGCGAAAGGAGCTAGACAAAATGTCTTTATCAAGTGGCAAGCAGCGAACACAAAGCCATAAAATGCTAATCCCATCATGGGAACAATGAGCAGAGCGGATCGGAGCAGAACGTTTGCCGTTTAGCGATGCCATCAATTGATACATCAGTCGATAAGGCAGCAAGACATCCTGTGAGAATCCCGCGTGGCTGCTTGGCTTTTGTGGCACGGGGCTAACAGGATTTGGCCACGCTAAATCAACGCAATTCGATGTGGCTCATTTGGGTGCAGCAACGAGGCAAGAAAATCGCAAGGGGGAGCAGCCACCACCCAAGGAATTCGTTGCGCTTTGTAGGAATTTGCCATGCTACAAATTCGAGGCTCATGGGAACTGAATTCAACAATCCGTCCAAAGGGGGTTGCCAGAAGTGTGGAAATATTGAAATTCGAAATTCATTCTTGCCAAAAACTGCACGAACACTCTGGAAGCTCGTTGTATTAGTTGCGCCGTCTGGCCGAATGAAAGCCTTTTGGGCCCAGGACAACCCCAGGACATCCTTTCATCTTGTTACCATTTCGGTTCCCAGCTCATTAGCGTCGGCGTCGTAGTTTTTGCGGCCGCATCTAATTGCTGCATGCGGCCAACTTGCATCCTGGAGATGCGCGACTGCAGGATTCAGCTTCACTGCGCTAACAAGTTGAACATATTCTTCGCCCTACTTACATGGCGTATGTTACTTCGGTCGAAAGGCATGTGCCCGCGGATTTCTGCTGGTTTTTCTAGGCCTGGGAACCTATGTTTTTGCTCTACTTCACAATAGGAATGGTTGCCGGCCAAAAACTTTCAAGAACTACATATGCTGTCAAATCAAAAAGATCCATAGGCCTATACAAATTTTTTTTGTGTATTGTGTTTTAATTTTGGTTGTTTTTATACGCCTTTCTCGTAGAGTAATTTAAGTAAAATTCATTTCTGCAAAAGTATACAGAAATTATATAAAAGAGGAGTATTTTTGAGTAATATTCTATATTTGAGAGTTGTTCATAAAAACGAAGCAACAACTGAAAATTGTTCTAAAAAAAATGTCCACTTTTTCCTGCATAATCTGAAAACGATTCCTTTTCAGGAACGCTAGCTTAGTATTCACAGTTTTCATTGTTTGTACTACAAATTTGTTTGTATTTTTATCCATAATCAAATTTAAGCTTGTGAGTTACTAGAGTTAATTTCGAATCTTTTAAACACAGTTAAATACAAGTTTTTAAAGCGAAATCCCAAAAAACCAACCAATCATAAAAGTTTAACTTTAATTAAATTTTAAATTTCAAATTTTTATTGTACGTAATATTATACTGGAGATCTCAAATAAATATGTTGAGACCTTTTCGAAATAGATTTCGTTTACTTATTCTTGACGTTTTATTTGCAAAAAATGTAAGCCCCAATCCCCAATTTTGAAATAATAACAGGCCATAATTATTGGATTGGCATAACAATTAGATTTTTATTAAAACATTCTGCCACACATTAAATGCTAATGTTAGCAGATCTGCAACTTAACTATAATATCTTACAATGATCAAACTCGAGATCCTTTCGGATCCCTGCAAAGGACAAAGAATTAATAGACATACGGGGAGATCCAGTTACACAATTAAGATACAAATTGCACTACATTTAAGGCTAAGGGAAATGAAATCGGAGCGTGGGGAAAACTAAAATTAATATCACAATCGAAAACGGGCATTACGGACTAGACCAAGGAAAACCAACGAACGGGTGATGGGTCTTGGGGAGATGTCTTAAAAATATCCGAAGAAATGCTTCGATCATTTGGGCATGCCGCCCATTCGGCGACCAGGCGGTGTGCCTCCGACCACATTGATGATCTCGTTGTCGCCGGCGGAGGAGGATGAGTCCTCCAGCTGCGGCTGGTGATCGCTGGCCTTGTCCTGGTGGGCAGTCATGTGTCGCGTTAGATGGTGCCGCTCCCTGAAGGTCTCCTGGCAGACGGGACACCGGAGCTTCTCCTCGCGCTTGCGGCGATTCGGATCGCAGGCCACCTCGCTTTTGTGATGGGATCGCATATGGTACACCAGATCGCTGGTCATCCGGAAACTTATGTTGCACTTGGCGCACACGTTCTGGGCGGTCAGTGTAAAAGTGGATGCCAAAGTGGGTGGAATCAGCGTGGAGAGTATGGCAGCAGCAGCGGGATTCTGCAGAGGCTGAGCCACTGCAAAAGGATGCGGTGGTGGAGCAAATCCCGGATAAGCATGCAGAAACTCCGACGGCGGACCTGGTGGGGAATTACCCGGCATGGGACCTCCGCCTCCATTGGGATTTCCTGGTCCTGGTGGACGAGTGTACAGCAACTGCTGCTTGAGTCGCTGCTGCGCCTGCAGCGCCTGCATGGGATTCACCGCCTGGAAGGCTCCATTGAACTGATACTCCGGCCGGAAGTTGTGGTACACAATGGGATTTGCGGGCAGGGGATTCGGATTCTGGCCACCGCTATTGGTTCTGGGCGGTGGCGTTACCAATGGCGGACTCATCGAGTGGCAGCTCAGCTGATCGGGACTCAGGGGAGGAGCTCCCACATCCACGGGTGACTCCAAACGGGAAGTTGTGGACGGGGATGACGATGCAGTGGACAGCGACGAGGAGGCCACCTTGGTGAAAGCACTACGCATCGGCGGTGGTGGTGAAGAAGTTAAGGGTGCCTCAGGTGAATCCACCAGGGGTATGATCACACTGGGATCATCGTACACCCGCGGCGAACGGATGCTGATCTGTGGATACCGCTGGCGTGCCTCCAACAGGCTGATGTACTCCAAGGCCGCCGGCGAAGGTGGTTGCGAGGATGCTCCTCGAGGAGACAGATCTGTGGGATAGTGGTTCATCTGGTGCTGCTGCTGTTGCTGCTGCTGCTGATGGTGATGAAGATGCAGTGCCTCCTGGAGACGGGCCTGCTTCTCGGCCTGCTTTTGCTTGATCCGCTCGTCGGGCATCATCAGGAAGGCCACATCAAAGGCGCGTTTCAGAGTGGTCTTTCCACCGGCTGGCGATGTGGGCGTCTCATTGTTGTTATTAAGATTGGTTGTCTGACTTAGATGCGGTGATTGGTGTTGCTGCTGCGGCGACGATGTCGAGATCCTGAGCTCGGCATGCTGAGGCGGCGTGGAGCGACGCTGGCCAGGATTCGCGTGCGACGGCAGGCTATCCATGAGCAGATTCATTTTCACTTCAATACACTTTTCGACTTTCACTTGGTTTTTGTGGACTTGGGTCTGGTCGTGGTTTCTCTAGTTCCTTGCGTTTCGAAATTCCAGTTTCGACTGCTGGCCGCCCGCAATCTGTTCCTCTTTAAGTACCCGCTGCCACCACCGCGTCCAGTTGGAATTCTCGTATTCTCATATTGTCCCATTCAAATGGGAAAAGCAGCTCTCCGCACTCGCGGCACTTGGCCCATCTGTCCTGATTCTGCTCGGAGTCTGTTCGGATTCAGGTCCAGGTCCAGGTCCTGCAGAGAGCCGCAGTCACCACCCTTATGTTCCTGCTCTCTTTCTCGCTCGCCCCCTCTCTTTCTATTCGGGTCTTGCCTCTCTTTCTCTGGCCCACTCTCTGTCTCTGGGATGTCCATCTGCTCTGCCAGTTGGCGAACATATTCTGTGGTTTTATTGTGCGGGTCCTGGCCAGGACGAGTCCTGGTTGGCTGGCATCACTGGCCAGGTTGGCTCACTCGAAAACGTTGCAGTATTGTATGTTATGCAGGGCACAGTGGTGTCCATGCATTTGTTTTATTTTTGCTATTCAGATTTGATTTTTTTTGTTCGGACACAATTAATTGGTTTTACGGATACTAATTAATATGCAGATTTGATTTGTAGTTCTGGAAAGTATTCAGTTGGATTTTGAGAAACCAAAAACTTTTTATAAATGGTAAATAATCAAATAATTGAGCCCATTAATAGTTACCGAAACGTATCCGGTGTCTACGCCTTTGTATTTATTACTATTCCATACTTTATATTACTATTTATTTTTTACAATCTCCAAAATCATTGTAGCTGGAAGCCAAGATTGGCTTTCTAAAATAAAATTAATTTATTAATTTCCAGGGAAAGATAGAACTTTTTTTTTATGCAAACTAAAATTAATACTTTGTTTGTTGGGTTATGAAGCTTAGAAATTTTAAAAAGAGTTGCAGTACCAAACTTTTATAAAAATGTACCTATTTTAATGTGCTACAGTAATCCCTTTATAATGCCTTTCGGTTAAAATTAGTTAAAAGATATTTCTGAATTATTCCAAACCAAATACAAAATTAAGCCACAAGCTGTGAGGAGTATGAAACCTATTAAATCAAGTCATGAGCCCAGAAAATATAGTAGTATTTATTGTGAAAAATTGTACAACTAATAAAATCTAGATCTTGTTTTGTAAATTATTTTAAATATTTTATCAAAAAGGATTGTCAGGCCAATTTCATTTTAATTTTTCCAATTATCCTTGCTTTCCTTTTCCACTGTGCTCTTTCGCGGTGCAGACAACTTTTCGAAAAGAGGCGGTGCTTGGTTCTGGCCTGCTCTCGCTTTCGCTCTCTTCGCCTCTTACACCCACCCCAAAAAATATGGCAGGACCTGCCCTCTCTTTCTAGCTCTATCCCTCTCTCTGCTGACGTTGATATCCTTGTTGCAAGTGTTTCCGAACAGGTTGTTTTTGTCGATTTTTTAGCAGCGCCAGGCGAGATTGTGTGAATATGTGGCCATGTTTTGTGTTGCTGTATTTGTTGTATTTGTTTCATTTGTTGTATTTGCATTTGTTGCTGCTGGGCTGGATTTTGAGTATATGCTGCGCGTAGCTTTTACATATTGCAGGGCACACACACACACACAGGCACACAAAGGGATATAGATATAGCGATGGGGTTCCCCCGTTTTGTAGGCGACTGTTGAGCGCCGAAAGATTTCGACGGACCGAAATATTTATTTGTCAGTTAAATTGTTCGCTCTATGTGGAAAAAGTGCAAACTGACCAGTAAATATACACATATATGTGTGTTGGGCATGCAACAATAGCAAATTGTGCAATGTTTTCCGTTCGTTTTCCGTCTCGTTCTGTTCCCCCGATTTCCTTTTTTTTCCGGCTAGACCCTAGATGTGAGGATGTGGCCATTGCCAGGACAAAATATGTGTCTGTTATGGTCAGTCGTGGACAAGGTTTGCAGCTACCATCGCCACTCACTCTCACGAATATTTTATTTAAATTTCCCTTCTTTTGTTGCAGTTTTTATGTGGCTGTGCGTCTGGTGCAGCGGCAATTTAATGTTTGCATATTTTCAGGTGCTAATTGTTCCACTTGCCATATGAGTTGCATTTTTAATTAATATTTATAGCCACCGAGCACTTGTGTGCGAGTGGGTATCTGTGTGCCGGAGCCTATAATTCCACTGGCCGCCATGTTGGCTGTCGACGAAATTAATATTAAACACATGATTGCCTTCGGCCATGGTCATTTCATTAAAAATATTGTTTAGTTTGTATTTAATTAATTGCTGATCGAACCATTGAAGCACAATCCATAAGCTGATATGATTAAAAATTGATAAATTATTGGGTATTGAAAAGGATTAGGCTGTAGATTTCCTGCAGATAGTTCCAAACGTTCAAGATTTGTTGTATATAAGTCAGTAGATGTGTTAGATTTGCCTCAATTTAATTAAATATAAGAAGATTGTTATGAACCTATTTAATGGGCTTTCATACTTTTGGTTGAGGTCGAAAAAATTAAAACTTATTTTGAATCAGATATCATAATTAAAGAATTAAAGATTATTCTAAAAATAGTCTCCACAATATTACAGTAAACTATTAAATTAATTTACCTTATGGCAACCAAAACATTTGAAAGTGTTTAAGATTTCTTGTATCGTAGTCATAAATAATTTGGAAGGACAATTCAATGAACATTTATAGTTATTTTTTATAGGACCTTTTGTTATTTATTGATATGAAAAAAATAAATTGCTTAAAATGTATTTTTAATTAGATGCCATTATTAAATAAATAAAAGTTCTAAAAATAATATCAGCGATTAATGTTAAATAAAAGTCAAAATACCTAAAATCGTATCTTATTTAGAACCAATTAACTCAATCTATTGGGTATTGTCAAATTTTACCACGAATTACCCCTCTTTTCAATTGGATTTCCACATATGTGACACGTGTCCACAAATGAAGTCAAGTGAAAATCCCAAACACATTCTTGGCCCATTGGCTTAAACATTTTGCGCAGAAATTAACGCAAATCTCCGATATACAAATCGAGCACAAAATTTCCACTAAACCCAAAGGCTTATCTACCCCTGCTGATCTATCGCAACTAAAAGATTTCGGCTTGTCATTGCGGAATGGGGTGGAATTTTAGGTGGGTTGGTTGTTTGGTTTAGCGACTGTCGATACATCAAACTGCCAAGTGACAAAGTGATTCCCCCGTTGTCAGGTTCAGACAATGCGCAAAAAGGCGTGAAATTGCCTTTGTGTGATTAAGTCAAGCCCGGAGAAACTGAAAGGAAGCGACTAAACGTCCCAGGAAGCAAATTAAAAACTAAGATGACAATCTCCCGACTAGAGTTTAGACACAGCTACGTGCTCCTTATGCCCTGGCATGGCATCCTCGGCGGGTTTCAATTATCCGAGGTAAGATAGCAAAATGTAAATTCTAATTGCTTCAACTTTTGCGTAGAGACAGCAGACACCTTTTCCTCGGAGATTGCGGCCTTGGTTGATGTTAATGCGCTGCCTGTCTCCCATAATCTTAGTGGTTTGTGGGGAAATCCTGGTGGAAACATCTTCTTGCTGCCTGGAAGTTCAAGCTTACTCTGCACATAAAAAAATGAAATATCAATTTGATTTGTTAAACGTGAATTAATATAATGATATTCTACAAGTTTAGCCAACTACCTAAACTTTAGCCTTGATAGTATTATTAAGTGTTTATTTTTCCTAATTTATTCATGTTTAAAGTAGTTTTAACTACGATTGTTCCATATTCACATACAAATAGTATGAAAAATTAAGCAAATGATTAGAAAATATTAATTTTTATTAAGATTTTTGACCTTGGTAGCAACAATCCAGTTTTTTATTAGGGGTTTACATAATCGGGCTTCACTCTTTAGTGGACGCACTGTAATGCAGTGACTGTTTTACACAAAATAATGCAAAAATATCTTAACTACATGATTCCAAATCGGGTTAAACCGTATTATAATTTTATAGAGATCAACCTGATATACTCGAAGTTTGGTTAATCAGCTTATATGTATCATGGAAACGGGTTTTTGAAATAGGTAATATGATCTTTTTCATCTAATCTTGTATCATTTTTTAGCAGTGGGATTTTGTTGTGCTGGCCTAGTGGAAGTTTCCTCGGAGTTGTGCTTCACAGATTGCATCCTGCCAGAGTCCTGCACTTGCCACCCCAATGAATTCGGAGTGTCCCTGGAGAACGGAGTAAACTAAAACTCCAGTATTGCTCTGGATCCAATCAAGTGCTTTTCGCGCATTAAATAAAAATTCGAATTGGATTTCACGTGAGCAGGGCGAGAACCTAATTGTGTGAGGGTTGGAGAGCTATGCATTTGGAGGGCTGGATCTGGATCTGAATCTGGAGTATTTCGGAGGGTTGTTGCCAGCCTCGACCGCCCCTGTTGCTGTTTGTTTAAATACCGTGAATAACATGTGGTTTTTTCCAAGCATATGGCAAGGACTTTGTCACTATTAAGGAGCCGTCTGGGCTCGGCTCGTCCTCCAGCTCGCCAAATCCTCCAATTAGACTGTCATTCATTTAAACGGATTAAAAATGCGCGAACGAGGGTCGCACTTTTGGCTCTAACAAGGCCCGAGGGCCACTGCATTGGGTGGTGGCTCTTGTGGTTGCCTCCGGTTTAGTCTTAGTCGGATTAGAGCCCTTGTTTTGGTTAACAAATCGGCTGATGACGATGTCGATGTCGATGTCGATGCGATTCGATTCCTGCCTTGCCCCGTTTGCTGTGCGTCGGTCCAATCAGTTCGAGACGCACATTCGCTCGCAATCAAGGCGCAACAACATTTTCTGCTGTCATATGCAAAACGCCAGCGAGCAACTGCACCTGAGTGGGTGGCAAATGGTGGGTGGTGGCTGGGACTTTATCTAAAATGCTTACGCTTGAGAAGCTTTCAATCGAATGCGGCATAAATATTTATGTGCCTCGATGTGGCAATATTTTCCGCAACTCAAACACACAATTCGAGCTCGTAAAACACAAACAGAACTCGCAACAGTTGCCAAGTGTTGGACTTGGTTGCTGAACAACCATAATGTCAAGAGCCCTTCAAGTGGGCCAGAAGAGGCGGCAGCAACCGGAACAGGAACATCCACTTTGAGTCCTTAGGCTCAATCCTTGCAGGGTATTAATGAGAGCTTAATAGAATATTGATTGGGTTTGGCGGGGAATTTTTACAAATTTTATTTCTGTTTTAAGTTTATTTAGTCAAACCAAAATGAAACTCCAAACTTCAAAACTTAATACAAATTAGAAGGAAAAATTTTAAAAAGTATAAATAACAAAAATATTATTTAAAATGCTTTTTATAACGGTCTAGTTTTTGAACCTTGAATATTACATAGTTGTTTCCTTTGATAAAAATAAGTTTTCAGACTAAAAACATTTTTTTAAAGGCTTTAATTTAATTTTTCTTTTAACCTAATGATGTTTTTAAAAATATCTGAAATTTTAAAAAAGATTTTTTTTTGGGAATATTGAATATACATTTTTATTAATTAAATGAATATTTCTCTTTTACCTTTTAAATATTTTTTAAAATTTTTGAAAGGTATCATCAGCTATGGTCCTTAAAACCCACACCCGGTTCCACTTGTAAAACATATTCATAACGAAAACATGCAACATTTGCCGGATTCTTCGGGCTGAGTCGGATGTGCAGCGTATGCTCAGCGAAGCTGCACAAATGAAGCGACCACCAAGTCACCACCAGACGACACCGACATTACCACCAGTTGCCACCACCCCGGTTCATCCACATCCACATCCACATCCATCCAGTCCGGGATGACCCGCATTTAAAGTTGCTCAATACGTTTTCTGGTGCCATAAATTGTGACCCTGCCCTGGAACCTGTTTCTCTATTTCTCTGTTTCACTGTCTGTCTGTCCAACTGACAGGGCGGAATCGGCTTGCGAAATCAGATCTAATCAGCTCGGAATGCTGTGCACAGTGGGCCGGATAGAGGACAGTTCCAATTGCAGGGATTCCCACTGTGAGCAGTTCGTAAACGATGAAAACTACCCTTTAATAAAGTGCGTTCTTCCTGGGCAACAAAATCACACTCGCGCTGAGCAAACATCTGTGCGATTTCGACAATGGTAACAAGGACTCTCCGAGGTCCTTTGCTCAGCCCCCGCTCGGCATTTAAAAAGTGTTTAGTTTATGGTCCATTGATGGCTTTGTTAACTCGCCGAACACTGCACTCCCATTCCCATTCCCAATCCCAATGCCAATCCCAACCACTCCTCATGAATCCCAAATCCCGCTCACTCGCAACCCCGTCCGGACACCTTACGTTTTTCGACGTTTACGATCTGTCCGGGGCGTTGCCGGGGGTTCTCCGTCTGCCTTTAATTATGCTGAAAACCACAAAATGCTGTTAGTGCAGCATTTTTCGATTCCAATTTGGAAAAAATGCTGACATATGCGCGGAGAAATGCGCCGCACCGCGGGATTCTCCAGTTCCCAGTTACGAGCTACGAATCCCCGGTTTCCAGTTCCCCCGGGTGCCCTTCGTCCTTTGACTCTCTGATTGGAACTGGTCCACTGCCGGGTGATAAGCATCGCCGGCTGGTGCCACACAGTCCGACAGACTGACAAGTGAGTTGTCGATCTAATGTGGCATCAGCATATGCTGGTCCCTTCGGCCATGTACACCCATCCACCCGTGCATCGATCAGTTGCGGTTGCAGCTAAATTCCCAATTGACCTCGCTTTAGATTGATCTACGCTTTGGATTTCATTTGAACAGGAGATAGGCATCTTTAAAGCTCTACATTTAGATCAGCTAAAGTCTTGTCCTATCTCTGATTAATTATCTTTGGGTTACAATTATTTTGGCCTTTTAATTTAAGTTGAGACGAACTTTTATTACTCAGTATATTGCACAATAAAAGTTAAATTGAACGATAATTTTTGAATTGATTAATTACATTCTTTATTATCATTAAAACTAGTTTTAGATACTTTGAAACTTAAAATAAGGAAAAACGACTTGTTACCTTTTTAAATGTTAATATACAAGTATACGATTTATAAAATTAATTATGCACTACAAATAAATAAAAAATGTAATAAATTAAAAGACAAATTTAACTAATTTCCTAACCTATTTCTAGACAGAAAAAGATAAATAGATTTTTAATTCACATATTTTCATATGTAATGCTCCAAACGGCTTTCCAATTAAAAACATTGTAATTTTTTACCACCTACAGTTAATATTGCTTAGAGATTACACATTATATCGTTTTAAAACGCCTCAAACTATTATTTTCCCCAAATTTAACATTGCTTCTTTTAAACATTTAAAAACATTTGTTCTTCGCTCCAATAAACAATCTATAATTTGCCTTGAGTGCTCATCGAATTTTCATAACATTAGTTTTAGCGAATGCCGATTTGCTGCATTATCATATGTAATGACGTCGTTTCGTTGATTTTATTTGCCTGTGCTTCAAGTTCAAACACCTTGAATCAATATTTTCTTTGCTCGGCTTTTTTGGGGCCGCCACACTCCACCTCCATCGCTGTTGATTTTCAAAATCGAATCTTGAATTAATCATGCGGAATAAATTTACTCTACATTTACTCTCGAAGTCTGCCTTAAACGAGAAATAATTGTTTAACAAAAAGAAGAAGGAATAATAATGGTATCCATTTTTGATATTTCTCCTCGGGCTAATTGAATTAAAATTGCAATTTCATTTTCAGCCATTGCTTCATGCGTATAAATAATATTCTATTCTATTCGAATCGAATCGAAAAAAACGAAAATCGAATGCGAAAACAGCGAAATTTATGACAGGCAGCCAAGATTTACGCTTGTGGCTTCAATTTCTGCCGAGAGAGTTCAATAACTTTTCGGGGTGAATTAGAGCATAATTCCATTGTCATGGTAATTTATGAGCTTAGTTTCTATTGTTGTCACTGTTTGGGTATTGCCGATATTGTTGTTTCTGCTCTTCCAGCTTTGTAGATTTTTGCAACATTAGCGCGGAATTATGGCATCCATTACGAAGGATTCTCCCATATGTGCTTGTGTCCCATAAAAGCATTCGAATAGTCCTCATATGTCGAAATGTTGATGCTGCAAATGGACCTTGGCAATTACATTAAGCGTTTGCAAAATCTTCTTTTAAAAGGACTTTAAAACTGGGTCACACACTTTTCAATTGGGTGCTAAGTGGTTGATTCGTATTTGGTAGCGCCTGTTTAGTGGTTTACTTATTACATATGCGCATATTTTAATAGACTCGAGTGTTTCCTACAAGGGGTTGGTTGCAAGGATTCGGGGGAGGGAGCGTCTCGTCTTGGCCAAAATTTGTGGTGTTGATTTAATGAGTACTTTTGCATTAGTTGACGTATTTTTCCCATTCGCTTTTATTCTGCTATTGGTAAAGTTGAAATAATTGGATATCATTCATTTTTATTTTCCCTAATTCTTATTAAAATTATTTAAAAAGTTGGTAAACTTAATTATTATTCATATGTTTTAAATAGTAAGCTTTTGCTGCTGCCCTGTTTATTTTTCTGCTTCCACAACCACTGATTTGATCTACAATTAAAGCACCGCCGTTCAACTGTTTATACTTGGCAGCTATACGTTTCCGCACGTAGTCCACCACATCCTGGGCCTCCAGTTGAGTTCCTGGCTTCCTGACCACTGAAGCAGCAGCTTCATCTCCATTCTCTGCATCCCATATGCCAAAGACACAAGCCTCGACAACATTTGGAATCTCGGCAATGACCTTTTCTATCTCGCTGGGATAATATATTATGTTCTGAAACTTGAGCATATCCTTTAGGCGATCAATAATGAATAGATATCCGTCCTCGTCCATGTAACCCAAGTCTCCACTGTGAAACCAGTTCTGGGAGTCCTGTATTATTCTAGATTCTTCTGGATTCTTAAAATACCCAGACCATTTTTGACCACTATAAAAGCAAATCTCACCGGCACTATTTGGTCCTTGAGATTCGCCCTGCTTGTCGATTATTTTTAACTTAGTGCCTTTAACAGGACGGCCCACTGAGTTGGGCTTCCTATCAAAATTAAAGTTTACGCATCCGACACTGTTCAATTCGGTTAGGGAATAACAAAAATGCAGACAATCGTGGCTTAGACGGCTACGCACTTGATTCTGAACTTCCAGAGAACAGTTTGAACCTCCATAAAATAAGTACTTTAAGGAAGATAGATCAGCCGATTTGAACTCCGGGCAGTTGGCAAACATGGCTATGTAGGAGGAACTCAAAAGCACCAACGAGATCTTATACTTCTTGATTACGTTGCATAAAAGACCTGGATCAAAGTCACTGTCTGCAATAATGCTCGTTGTACTAAACACTCCTGCGATAATGGTCATTGTGAGTCCCGAGAACCAGTCCAGGGTACTTGACGTATAATGAACGATCGAGTTGTTCATGGGGCTGAAAAAAAGTAATATTTAAAATTTGAACTTAATTTCGGTAATTATAATTACAGAAATGACACAATAATCTGGTGACTATTGCTGATAGTGACTGCCTTGGGAACTCCTGTGGTGCCAGAAGAACTAAGAATGGCCAGGGTTTGATCAGTGCCATTTTTTAATCGGAATGGCTTAAAGTTCCGGTCCACGGGAGTTGTCAAAACATCCTGGATCCGAATTGATCCTGTCGGATGATTGCGCATGGTAATTATCTTCACCTGGAGACTTTCAGTGGCTGCTCGAACCTTTTCAAAGTCATCTCCATCGCAGAAGATCAGTCGTGGCTTGGTGAGACCGAAAAGTGTCTCGATTGTAGATGGTTCATATGCATTATGTAGGGCATGAAAGGGAGTTCCGTTGAAGAAACAGGCATACGCCACAGCCGCCAAGTGATTAGTGTGTCTACCCATGACTCCCACGATGTCATTTTGTCCAAGACCCAGATTCCGCATATAACTTGCCACTCTCTTTGCGTTAAGTAAAAGTTCCTCACGGGTTAGCACACTATCGTCCGTGAGGGAAATCTGATGGTTCAATAGCTAGTATGATAGTCAGACTCCTCGAGACTCCGAAACGAACCTGGGCAATGTGTTTTGGGTGGCGTTCCATTTCCTGGAAGATAATCTCTCCAATGGACAAGTCCGCAGGAAACAAACTCTGCCTTTCGCCGCCACTCCAGGTCTTTAGATTATCATCGTAGTTGCTTTCCATCTTTTCGTCTGCTTTCAATTTAACCAATATTCAGTGCTAAAATTTCGCTTTTATGATTACGAATTTTGTAACTGTAGTACTTTATCAAAGAGAATTTTTCTAGATTTGTGGAGTGGATTATTATATTAATCTTCTGATCTATTGAATTAAGGCAGAAAAGACACGACTAAAAGCACGAATCTAAAATTAAAAGTAAAAGCACATACATACAAAAGCTTATCTAAAGAGGGAATATTTGGGAACATATGACTACCTAACAATCGATAAAAATGATTGCCATTTACGACATACTGTCTCTACTACCAGTTATTATTCACTATTTATTTTAATTATACCAATAATTTTTTTAAATATTATTATAATTAATACATAAGGCAGAGACTATTTAAATTTTTTTTTGCACTTTTAAAACATTTATTAGTAACAATTAAAAAGCTTAGCCAAACCATTTTCTTTTACACTTTTAGACAATTTTTTTCTATTCGGATTTATAGCTATTTGAATTACAATTGGCACAAATTGATGAAACTTTAAGCTATATGTATAACGTAGTATATAAATTAATTTAATAAATAGGACACTTATGAACACATGCTTAGGTGTTAACCTGATAATATACATATTTTTAGAGCGTATTTTTCTTCATTATTTTTATAAATTCAGCTTTTGTGGCTGCCCTGTTTGTTTTTCTATTTCCACTCTGAACAATTCGATCTACGATTAAAGCGCCTCCATTCAACTGCTTGAATTTGGTGGTGATACGCTTCTTAACATGGTCGACAACCTCCTGGGCCTCAAGTTGAGTGCCCGGTTTCTTTACCACAGAGGCTGCTGCCTCGTCGCCATTTACTGGGTCCCATATGCCAAAGACACAAGCTTCGACCACGTTCGGCATTTCTGCGATGACATTCTCGATCTCGCTGGGATAGTACATAATGGTCTGGTATTTGAGCATATCCTTTAGGCGATCAATAATGAATAGATAGCCATCCTCGTCCATGTAGCCCAGGTCTCCAGTGTGAAACCAGTTCTTGGAATCCTGCATTTTTTTAGTTTCCCCCGGGTTCTTATAGTAGCCAGACCAATTTTGTCCATTATAGATGCAGATTTCACCCAAGTTATTAGGTCCCTGGGCTACGCCCTGTTTGTCGATGATCTTTACCTTGATGCCCCTTACCGGACGGCCAACTGAATTGGGTTTCTCATCGAAGTTGAAGTTCATACATCCGGGGCCGTTCAACTCAGTCAGCGTATAACTAAAATTAAGACAGTCGCGGCATAAACGCCTTCGCACTTGCTTCTGAACGTCCAGCGAACAGTTGGATCCGCCGTAGGTTAGGAACCTTAGAGAAGATAGGTCAGCCGACTCGAATTCCGGGCAGTTGGCCAACATGGCCAATTGGGAAGAACTTAAAAACACAAACGATATTTTATACTTCTTAATTAGGCTACACAGAGCACCAGGATTGAAGCCACTGTCTTCAATAATGCTCGTTGTACTGAACACTCCAGCATTAACGGTCATCGTAATGCCCGAGGCCCAGTCCAGTGTGTTTGGATTATATAAGATATCAGAGCTGCTTAATGGGCTGAAATAAAATCCTATTTAAAAGGCAAACTTATTGTTGGTAATTATGGGTATTTACACAAAGCTCGCAATAATCTGCTGACTATTGCTGATGGTGACTGCCTTCGGATTTCCTGAGGTACCAGAAGAACTAAGAATGGCCAGGGTTTGATCAGTGCCATCTTTCAATCGCACTGGCTGAAAGTTCTGCCCCACAGGAATTCTCAAAATATCCTGGATCCGAAGCGATCCTTCTGGATGATTGCGCATTGTAATTATTTGTATCTGGAGGTCCTCCGTGGCTGCTTGAACTTTTTCAAAATCATCTCCATCGCAGAAGATCAGTCGTGGCCTGCTAATTCCGAAAAGTCTCTCAATCGTAGACTCATCGTATTCAGTGTGCAGGGCATGATATGGGGTTCCATTGAAAAAACAGGCATATGCCACGGCCGTCAAGTGAGTGGTCAGTCTGCCAATGATTCCCACAAAGTCACCTTGCTCCAGGCCCAACTTCCGCATATAAATTGCCACTCGCTTCGCGTTCATATGGAGCTCTTCCCAGGTCAGCACAGTTTCCTCCGTGACCGAAATCTGAAAGTTATCCCCAAATTATTTTGATTTTTGCTAAATCTATCACCAACCTGAGCAATGAGTTTTGGATGACGTTCCATTTGCCGGAAGATAATCTCTCCGATGGACAAGTCGGTGGAAAATAAAGTCCGCCTTTCGCCACCACTCCAGATTTTGAGGTTATTATCATAATTACTTTCTGTCTTGAACGGCGATTTTCCTGCTTGCAATTCACCCATTATTCGTTAAAAAATTAAATTGTAGTAACTTGGCTTAATTGGAACTTGCTTAGCAATTAGAGTTAATATTATTTTCTATTGACTAAAGAACATAAGACAAAAGAGATAAGCGTAGAAACTCGAATTAAAAGCTCCAAGTAAGGTCATACCGTGTTAATCAGTGCTGACTTTATGTCGTTTTTCGAAGAGATCTGTCCTTTTATAAAAGTCTTTGCCCCAAGAAATGCCAAACTAACTTCATTTAAAAATCTTTTTGGACTACAAGCAATTTAAAATTTTAAATGTTGTTTAAAAAAATGGCAGATTTCAACGGTGATGATTCAGATTAGTTATCTGAGTCGACCCTTTTTGATTTTATGCACTGTAAAGCTCTGTTAGAGAATAACAAACGTTGTGACTAAAAAGTCAAATCGGCTATGTAACCAAATTTTACTTGTTTTTCCCAAATAACTTTATAAAATTTTATAATATGCATTCCATTGAAAAAAATGTACGAACGATTAAAACATAATTTGAGAAATAGACTAAAAATGCCATGGCCATTAAATTTTGTTATTATTTTTAATGTTGTTATTTTCTTGGTCGAAATAATTATAAGTGTCTATTACAAGCGTAAATGTATTGACATTTACAGCAACTTGTGAAAAATGTTTATATAATTTTTTTGTGATATTTCTGTATGATAGAAATCGCTATTCTTTTTATACCCGTTACTCGTAGAGTAAAAGGGTATATTGTATTCGTGCAAAAGTATGTAACAGCTAGAAGGAAGCGTTTCCGACCCTATAAAGTATATATATTCTTGATCAGGGTCACTAGCCGAGTCGATATAGCCATGTCCGTCTGTCCGTCTGTCTGTCCGTCTGTCTGTCTGTCTGTCCGTATGAACGCTGAGATCTCGGAAACTATAAAAGCTAGAAGATTGGCATTTTGCATGTAGATTTGAGCAGTTCCTACGCAGCGCAAGTTTGTTTCAAAATGGTGCCACGCCCCCTCTGACGCCCACAATCGCTTATATTTTAAAAATTTAAATATTTCGGAAAAGTAAAAATGCAGTTTTATTGTGTTTATCAATACCTATCGAAATGTAGAAGAAATTTTTCAAATCGGACCATTCGTTAAAAAGTTATGCGTGATCAAAGTTTCTATCTACATCTCCCTCGCACTCCCTTTAGCTGAGTAACGGGTATCTGATAGTCGAGGCACCCGACTATAGCGTTCTCTCTTGTTTTTTATTGATATTGTAGAGCAAACATTAGTTTCTAAAAAAAAAGATATGGGATGCTACACGTGTAATTTATAAGGAAATGTTTTCCTTTACGTAGTATATATTTTTTAAAAAACGAAGTTACGCAGTCCCAGTGTAAGCGACCCTTTAGGCAAAACAAAGAAGATCATTCTGAATTCGTTAATCATTCATATGCCAAACTGGCTGGTGCTGACTTCTAAAGTCTAATCCCTCAAACACTCATTGCGTCCATCATCTCAAACTAATGCCATACTAATTAAATTCACTATTCATGTTTACTTAACCAATGATTAATTGGCAGGACTATTTTCCTGAACCGCTGATAATCGGATTGCGAGACTTAAGCCATACAAAATTTTGAAAAAGATATCGAAGAGATTCCTCAAATGGTCAGCTGCGCTATCTGGAATTCCTACCACCGCCAATGATAATGGACCTCACTCAAAAGAGGATTTTGGGCTCGGGAAACAAGTGGATTAAGGGGTTGACAATTGGGCGAATGTCCTGTCAGGACTTAGGCTTCTACGTTTTGCATTTGTTTTTACGATTATGAGCGACATGGATGGATCGGAATCGTTCAGTTCTGCTCTTTTCCATTATGATGCGTTATTTGGTTTGTGCCCTTTCCCTCAAACAAAAGAAACTAATAAGCAAAATGTGTTTTTCGGTCTTGTCGGCGTGCATTGATTTTGGTTAGTGCGTGGTGGGTACTGTGTACTGGGTGCTGGGACCACCCTCGTTCTGAGTCGACAACATTTGTCATACGGCCAAGACAGCCTCAACAGTTGTTGGCGATTATCATTTTGACAGTTGCTTCTCGCTTCGCTTTTGTTTCAGTTCCCTTGGCTGCGTTTTGCGCCTTGATTTATGCATTTTTAAGCGGTTCACTTATTGTTTCTGCGCACAAATATGGCCGAGTGCTAGTATCTCGGTATCTGCGAGATACAAAGGCTTGGGCAGCCCTTTCCGCGTAATTTGTTGATTTATTGCACGGCTGCCACTGCAGGCATCTTCATTAGGACACACCCACCAACGTCTTACAGCGCCAATAATTCGCTTACCGCTGGCGTTCATTATCATTATCCTGCCGGCATTGTCCTTAGCCTCGGCCTCGTTTGTCATGCCCGGTGCGTCTGCTTAAGTTTTCGCACGCTCCAACGCCTCGGCTTCCTTGGCGCTGCCTTCTTCTAGCTGTGGAAATTGAATTGAAAACGTGCTGAAGCGTTAAATGCTCTTGTGTCAACTGTTGCCAATCCCCCACCCGAGCGGTCCGTCCGTTCATCACTTTGCGTCCTGTGTGTGTGGCGACATATGAGAATTTGTAACCTCAGCACAAGCTGGTCTTCGAGTTGGCCCAAAAGTTCCCGACCAAGTGGCAAGTAAGTGTGGCATAATTAATTCTAAATTGCATCCGTAAAGGATTTCCAAGTTTCGGTGTCCCAAACTCATCTGACAAGCGGGAGAGTATGTGGCTTAGAGGATTTCCAGAAAATCTGTTTTCCAGTATCGGGCATTTATTTTCTATAATATATTTTCAGACTTTATACAATTTAGTCAATAAAAAGCTTATAAGCTTAATGCTTAGTTAGTACTTAGTATATTTTAAATATTTAAGTAATAATTAAAATAATTTGCATTCCACTACGACGTTTCAATAGGTTAAACTGGTTTAAACTTCGGCAAAGTATTTCCCGAAGTTCTTTCCGATATTGAGCATCTATTTTTCTTAACATGTTTTTGTGTGCCTTATACAAAACTTCCAAATAACATTATTCATTAAAAAAAAAAATAAAAAAATTACAGAAATTAAATAACACAATTTCCAAACTTCGTTTTTCGCGGGTTGAGTCAAAAATAATTACGTTTTTTACGTAGAGCGTAATCGTACTTCATCTTTTAATAACCATCAAGCAATAGATGGCGCCACCAAAAACGTAAGTAAAATGTAAGGATGCGTATGTAAAATATAGTCAAAATGTGCAGGTTCTGCCACCAACCGCTAGGGGCACTGTCTCAAAGTTTTGGTGGTGGAGGGCTGATTTGGAAAAATAGGGAAAAACTAAGAAAATGGGGAAAACCCGTGAAAGATTTGTTTATCGGTTGTGAAAAATTCGACATAACAGAAAAAACTGATGTTGGGTTGGAGGAGTAAGTCGAAGTGGAGTTACTTGGAAAAGTAAGGGTGTTTTTGAAACCTATTGGCTATATGACCAAATGATTGATTTAAATAATTGAATACATATAAATAGCCCCCACATTCAAGGGCAGATTAGTAGGACAGTTCGTCTACCTAATCATAACTTTCATAAAAAAAAAGATGAACAAAGTTTCAAAGGAGTGTCACTAGCAATGTCCTTGTCTTATTTCTTTAAATACTAGAGAAATTACGAATAAGCAATTTGGTAAATCTTGCTCAATGTAAGAGTTTTTAGCATTTCGATAATAATAACTCCAAAGTTGTTCAAAATCTTTTTAATTCAGAAAATACAGTTTTATTTTACCTTGCTAATGGTAAAAAATCTACTGTTTTCGGTTTTGCGCCAGCTGCAAGAAACTACATATGAATATGGCAGGCATGTCAACCTGTCTTTATGGCCATTTCTGTGTTTATGTTGCTGGCGGGAAGCGAAAATGTCGCCAAAGGAAGGGAATGCGGGACTGGGACAAGGCGACAGGAAACAAATAGACAAAATGCAAACTTTATTTTTAGTAGTTTTTGGCGCCGCGGTTCCTGTAAGTCGGCTACAAATACGCAGACAGTCTCACAAACGCAGCATCGCCCGTTATCCTTGCTGACGATGATGATGACGGCGATGGTGATTATGATGATTTCGCTACTACTCGTGTATCCTTTCGCCTCGGAGACATTTTCAGTGATTTTTCTCTGCACTCTGGCTATGCTGGCATTTTTATGTGGCTGCAAAAAAGGCGCATAGCGAAATAGATGGCATAGCTAAATGGAAGTGTCTTGGCAAAATATTTACATCCGCCTCAATGGACAAATTTGCGTATTTATGAAAAGAACAGATTGAAATTGTGCCCCCGACCATCTTCTTCCATTCATGTCAGCAATTCGCTTTTAAATTGAATTTCCAGTGCAGTTTGTGGCGCAATTAAAGCGGCCACATTGCTTTACTTGTCCCTCTTTTTTTATGATTTGCCCTGTAAATATGCAGTAAATACGCTTGGCTCGCAGCCAGCCAGGCGGCGATGTCCTGCGAGTTGTCCTTTGGCTGTCCGCCACTGGTCACTGCGCCATGACCGTCACTCCTTACTCTTCGAATGTGTATTACAAATGCCTGTCAGCGGCTCGCAGAATAGATTGCACTGTCTGCCAAGGATGGATGCCGCAAAATGTCCTTTGCGAGGTGCGTGGGTGTGCTTCCCTCAACTCCTTTTTTTTGGCATAAGATGGCTTTTGAGTTCAGTGACTGGAAAATGTGCAGCGACACGTCGACCATCTATGGTTAAGTATGGTATCATATGCAAGTTACTTCATCACAATGCAAGACATATTGAGTAAGTAATAAAGTAATTCTGTGCAGTCAAGCGAATATATTCTTAAAAGACTATAAAAATATTACCTTGCAAATCCTAAGGCGAAGTATGTGGTCAAAGTTCAGAGCTAGGACTGACCACATATTTTACTAATGAGATTATTTAAGGTTTTTTATTCAATGTGCGTTATCACAGACTTTATTTTCAAGCAGGGCATTCATTGTTACAGAACGGACTTTGACAAGAACTTCATAAAATGTTTTACTTTCTGCCTATGCTCCTTTGTTTATTTAAAATCATTCTTTTATCATTTATCCTTAAGTGCTCACTTTGATTGAATTTCTTCTTTATTATTGCTTTAA